GTAAATGTATTCCACAGCCATCAGTAGTTTAAATCACTGAGAATGTATATATGTTGTCAGTAAATATATTCAACAACCATCAGTGGTTTAAATCACTGAGAATGTATATGATGTCTGTAAATGTATTCCACAGCCATCAGTAGTTTAAATCACTGAGAATGTATATATGTTGTCAGTAAATGTATTCAACAACCATCAGTGGTTTAAATCACTGAGAATGTATTTGTTGTCAGTAAATGTATTCCACAGCCATCAGTGGTTTAAATCACTGAGAATGTATCACCAGAGCCCAATATATTGAAGTTGATGTTGAAGTTCTAAAACAACCCAATTACAATAGAAGTACCGAACGACAATGTCACTATGTCACTTAGTGACAACACCAGCCGTGACACGCTCAGTGAATTAGAAATGTCCCGAAGATATAAAGCAATAATTCATGCAAAATAGTGTAGGTGTTTTGGATACACCGTAATGCTGGTATTCAATTGTAAATAATTCAATAAGCCTCACTGACAATGCTATATACTAAACAGTTTTGGGAGCTATCCTCTCATACAGTGCTTGACAACAAGGTTTTGTCACAGACTACACTGTAATAGTATACAAATAACAACGGACCTGACCGTTATTTTATCGGGTTTAGTTTTCATATTTTTTCTTAGCTCCCTTATTGATGTTTCCTTGGATTAATGGTGTTAATATACATTTTTTAAGTATTCTGTCACCTTCAAGTATCGCATTTCCAAAAAGCTGCATCTAATTATTTAGAATACATATATATCTATTGAAAATAAATACTCTTATATCACTAAACATTCTCTTCATAACTTCATCGAGTTCGTAAGTATTGATTATGAAGAGTTCTTTTTACACAACCAATAACATTTTCCAGATGACCATGCCAATGAGACTCTTGTGAAACTTCCACCATTGGGAAAGGACCTTGCAATTTGCATAGCACCATCAACGGAAAAGCGAACTGTTCTGTCAGTACATCATGAAACCAGCTCAACACCCAATGGTTCTAGTAATACTGAAAAACACTCGCAGCTTACTGATGACGTTGAAGCAGCTCTGGATCAGGAGGGAACTGGGATATTTGACTCTGTTTTGCGGGTTTGCAGAGAAACATTCCAAATATTTAAGGAAATAGAGAGCTAACATTATCTTACTAAACATATTGTGTACAAATATGGCAGCTCGTTCTTACTGATCACATGCTTAACGTATAAGATGTACCAGTATTGTATGTCCAAGTATATTGGAAAAGTAGGACAATGTTTCTCTCTACTTATTGTTTTATACGAAATCATAATAGATATTTGGAACGTAGGGATTGGTTGTGTTATTTTAGCCAAATTGTTTTGATAATCTAATATCAATAGCCGTGTGCACACTAGTGGTTATATGAATGATTACAGGTCACAAGTTGACTATCACTCTCAATGGTGAGGTGGTGTGTCTCCAGACAACATGAAGCTATGTACTCAGCCCCGGTTGTCTCTTTACGGAGTTACGAAACCGCAGCTATGTTGTAAGTAAATGTATTCCACGGCCATCAGTGGTTTAAATCACTGAGAATGTATAAGTTGTCAGTAATGTTTTCCACAGCCATTAGTGGTTTAAATCACTGAGAATGTATATGTTGTCATTAAATGTATTCCACAGCCATAAAGGGTTTAAATCACTCATAATGTATATGTTGTCATTAAATGTATTCCACACCCATCAGTAGTTTGAATCACTGAGAACGTATATGTTGTCGGTAAACGTATTCCACAGCCATTAGTGGTTTAAATCTCTGAAAATGTATATGTTGTCTGAAAATTTATTCCACAGCCATCAGTAATCACTGAGAATGTATGTTGTCAGTAAATCTATTCCACAGCCATAAAGGGTTTAAATCACTCAGAATGTATATTTTGTCAGTAAATGTATTCCACAGCCATCAGTGGTTTAAATCACTGAGAACGTATATGTTGTCGGTAAATGTATTCCACAGCCATCAGTGGTTTAAATCGCTGATAATGTATTTGTTGTCAGTAAATGTATTCCACAGCCATCAGTAGTTTGAATCAATGAGAACGTATGTTGTCAGTAAACGTATTTTACAGCCATCAGTGGTTTAAATCACTGAGAATGTATATTTTGTCAGTAAATGTATCCCACAGCCATCAGTGGTTGAAATCACTGAGAATGTATAAGTTGTCAGTAAATGTATTCCAAAGCCATCAGTGGTTTGAATCACTGAGAATGTATGTTGTCAGTAAATGTATTTCACAGCCATCAGTGGTTTAAATCACTCAGAATGTATATTTTGTCAGTAAATGTATTCCACAGTCATCAGTGGTTGAAATCACTGAGAATGAATAAGTTGTCAGTATATGTGTTCCACAGCAATCAGTGGTTTAAATCAATGAGAATGTATATATGTTGTCAGTAAATGTATTCCACAGGAATCAGTGGTTTAAATCACTGCGAATGTATATGTTGTCAGTAAATGTATTCCACAGCCATCAGTGGTATAAATCACTGAGAATGTATATGTTGTCAGTAAATGTATTCCACAGGAATCAGTGGTTTAAATCACTGAGAATGTATATGTTGTCCGTAAATGTATTCCACAGGAATCAGTGGTTTACATCACTGCGAATGTATATGTTGTCAGGAAATGTATTCCACAGCCATCAGTGTTATAAATCACTGAGAATGTATATATGTTGTTAGTAAATATATTCAACAACCATAATTGGTTTAAATCACTGAGAATGTATATATGTTGTCAGTAAATATATTCAACAACCATAATTGGTTTAAATCACTGAGAATGTATATGATGTCTGTAAATGTATTCCACAGCCATCAGTGGTTTAAATCACTGGGAATGTATATGTTGTCAGTAAATGTATTCTACAGCCATCAGTAGTTTAAATCACTGAGAATGTATTAAATACTCTTATATCACTAAACATTCTCTTCATAACTTCATCGAGTTCGTAATTATTGATTATGAAGAGTTCTTTTTACACAACCAATAACATTTTCTATGTTTCAATGACTAGTACGATATGTATACTGTCCCCTTCATCATACAAATGATCAGTGAAGCGTATGCCCACAAAGGTGTAAAATGTGTACGAGTTGTCCACAAAAATCGATGTCGATTCGACTACACTGTAAGCGTATGTACAATAGTTGTTATCAATGTACCGAAATGACTCGATTTAGCTACGCTGTGTTTAATACTTTGTTTTTTTTTTGTTTTTTTTTTATTCAAATTTTTTTGTTGTCTCATTCAAAACATACAAAAGTATGTAATATCAGTAAAAATAATGAAAGGCCACTGTACGTATGTTATCTATATCTTTCAACAGAACTTGCATCTATAAAACTTTATTACAACAAATACAAACATAAAAAATTCATACTGCTACATTGCTACATTAATTTTGACATATTTCATGAATGATTTAACTCTGAAGATTGTATAAAAAAATACAAGATACAATCATGTATCCATATTTAGCATTCTGTCAATGAAAATCCATTTTTGATTTACCATGATCTTTTTTTTATTTAAATATGTATCAAGTTCACACTCTTCTACTTTTTTTTATAAAAAAAACATGTAAGTTTTCCATTCAGTAATTGTAGGGGTTTTCCTCCTTAATTTGCACATATATATATGTAATATTTTAATATTAAAATCAAGAAATTTATTTCATTTTCATTTTCAGTTTCAAAAATACCAAACAACATGGCTACTGGGTCTCTTGCTAAGTCTATTTCAAATTGTGACCTCAAGAAATACATAAAGGATGATCAAAGAGATTGTACATGACAACATTCCCATAATAAATGTATTAATGTTTCTCTTCCCACACCACAGAATGTGCATCTTTCTGTTTCACTCAATTTACATTGCATTAATTTGGTATTAGTATATAGAATTCTATGAAAAAGTTTGAACTGAAAATTCTGAAGTTTAGTGTCATCTGTAATATATCTCGGAATTGAATAAAACTTACACCAGGATTCTTTGGGAATGTTTACATGTAAAATCTCCTACCATGCATCTTGACTTTTCTTTGGTATTTCTGTGACTGATTTCAGCATAAATTTATAAAAATAGTTTGTAACCTTTTCATGTTTCTTCAAATACTGAATAAATTTACTTTGTTTTGCCTCAATTGGTTCATTTCTTTGAAATAAAATTAGTTTCCATGACCTTGGTATTGCATTTAAAATTCCCAAAAGTTCAATGAAATTAACAGCCAAATTGAATTTCTCACAAAAGTATTCATGTGTTAAAAAACTATTGTTTTCAACAAGATCCCCAATAAAAAAAAATGTCCTTTTCACACCAACGTTTATAAATAAAAATCTTATTATCTATTTTAATGAAGTTATTATACCAGATCGGCTCAGAAGCAACAGTGTCTGGGGTTGTGGGGAGTTCATCACCAGTTAACTCTTCCCATATAGTGAATATTTCTCTCCAAAAGATATTGAAGAATTTAGAAATGTTTAAAAGCCCTTCTTTTTTCATTTTAAAAACTTTATCTCCCCCATATGGTTCAATTTTATCTAATATCAGTGTCTTCCAAGGTGAAGTATTTAATGGATCCAATATTTTTTTAATCCAGCACATTTTTAAGGCATGACAAAAAGATATAATGTATGGTACACGTAAACCTCCCTCATTATAATCCCCATACATAACTGTACGTTTTACTTTGTCTACCTTTTCGTTCCATAAAAATTCAAAGAAATATTTCTGTAGCTCTTTGACCATGGGCAGAGCTAAAGTTTTTATAACAGTTACTTTGCCAATATATGTAAGGTTTCTAAATGACCAATCATTTAGTAGCTTTTTGACAGTGACTAACTTTTGTCTGAAATTTTCTTCCAAGATCTTTTCCAATTGTAAGTTATAAGAGATACCTAATAATTTAAAATTTCCTTGGTGATTCCAATTCAAATTCCTATCTGGAAGTATTTCCTCTCCACAACCCCGTTTTGCCCCAATCCAAATTGCCTGTGTTTTTTCAATATTTATCTTAAGACCAGAAACATTACCAAAATCATCTAAAATTTCAAGAACAGAATTTAAGGAATATGGATCATCAGATAAAGTAAAGGAAGTGTCATCTGCAAATTGATTTATTAGGTATTCTGAATTATTTACTTTGATACCCTTAATATTAGGATTTACTTTTATTGCTGAACTTAACATTTCTACACATAGGATGAAGATATATGGACTAATAGGGTCGCCTTGTCTAACTCCACGGCATACATTAAAAAAATTGGAGCAGTGTCCATTGTTTATTACACAACATGAATTCTCATTATAGAAAGTTTTTATCCATTGTAAAAGAGAAGGACCAAAGCCGTAAAAGGAAAGCGTTTTAAAGATAAAATTAAATTCTAGAGAGTCGAAGGCTTTCTCAAAATCTATAAGTAACAATAATCCAGGGATATTTTCTTTTTCAGTATTTTCTATTAAATCATAAATTAGTCTAGTGCATTCTCCAATATATCTTCCTTTAAGGAAGCCTTTTTGTGTTTCACTTATTATACTGTTTAAAACTGTTTTAATTCTATTTGAAATAACTGAAGAAACAATTTTGTAGTCAACATTAAGTAAGGTAATAGGCCTCCAATTTTTTACATATAATTTAGATTTACCTTCTTTCGGAATACATGCAATCATACCTTGACGTTGTGTTATAGATAGAAGTCCCTCGTCATATGCTTGATTAAGTGAATTAATTAAAAACCTATTGATATCTGTCCAAAAAAACTTGTAAAATTCTACAGTAAATCCATCTATTCCAGGAGATTTATTATTGTTCATATTTTTTAGGGATTTAAGACATTCCTGGTAATGTATTTTTCCTTCTAACTGGTTACTTTGTTCCAGGGACAGTTTATTTATAAAGGGATTGTCATTATCAAAAAAGAAGTCATTTGCTACATTTTCATTTGTGTATGAGCTAGTATAGAGTGTCTGATAGAATTTTTTCTGTTCTCCTAAAATGTCTTGTATATCTGTTATTTCTTCGCCAGTTTCTGTTATAAGCTTTGGAATTAACTTTTCTTGATAATGTCTTTTTTCTAAATTGCAAAAAAACCTGGAACTCCGTTCACCTTCAACTTTCCATCTTGCTTTTGCTCTCAAAATAACTCCTTTAATTTTACTGTCTCTAATCAACTTTAACTCATTTTCTACTTCTTCAATAGCCCCCAACTGCCTATCTTCTTCCTGCTGTAATTTTTCCAGTTTTAATTCTAGATCATTTTCTAATTTATCTCTTTCCCGTTTTTTATATGATGAGTAAGCAATAGTTTTCCCTCTAATCATTAATTTTAAAGTCTCCCATAGCAATTTATCACTTATTGAAAAGGTAATAAGGTTTATATCTTCCTCTTCAGGATTAGTAGCATATATATCTATAAAATCTCCAATACATTTTTTGACAAGACCAACATAATCCAGATCATTTAACAAACTATTATTAAACTTCCATGTTCCCTTTCCCTTTTGCTGGTCAATAAACTTTATAGATAAAAAAATTGGGGAGTGATCCGACCTATAACTTGTACCAATACCGGTTTTACATATAAAAGGATTTAAATCTGAAGATATTAAAAAATAATCAAGTCTAGCTTGTTTTCTCTGTGGACCATGCCATGTAAAAATGTTCTTATCCTG